ATATATGAGGCTCATTTAGGCCAACAAGTAGGTTGCATTATATGGCTGTGCTGGCGTACTCAGTGCTCAGACTGGAAATGTAGCTTCAGCAAAGAGGACACGGCAAGGGAAGCCAGTTGCCCTTGTGACACTGGTTTTGCAGCTGATGCAACAGAGCAGGGTTTTGCTTATGCTGTGGCCTTGATCTGAGGGTAGGGATGAAATAGTGATGATTACTTGGGAGTATCGGTTTTCCGCTGAGCAAGTAGGTGGAAAGTCAGGCAACAAAATTAGCTGAATACACAAACAGTCTGGGCTGGAAGAGGTTTTCTCCCCAGGGAGAGATTAAGGCATGTGGTGTCTTACGTAGTAGTGATGGCACATGTGCTCTCGCCGTGCCTTGGCGCTCTGAGCTGACAGTTGTTGAGATATTGGCTTTGTGTTCTGTCCTCATCTCTCCCAGCTCCTTTCCGGTGACCAGCTGGGGTAGAATATCTTGTGACACATGCTCAGTCCTTCTTGCTGCTCTTTTCCCACAGGGCGTTGGGTGCTCTGCCCCAAGCCCTTTCTCCCTGGGACACTTAAGCTCAGTTTCATGTCTTGCCTGGATCCATCTGCAACTCTTCAGGATGTGAATGGTGCTGTGGGACAGGCAGGGCCCTGCAATCTCTGTGCCCACTAGATTGTGCCAACTGAGCTTTAGCAGTAGGGACCATATCTTTGAGCATCATACAAGACTTCAGAAATAGCACTGCACTCTGACAACCTCCCTGAGCTTCTGGGTACTAATGTCAGCACATCAGGTCCTGAATACAGAGCAACTGGCACCTCAGCCTCTTCCCTGACACACAGGATTGCAGAGGGGATGGGTGCAGCGAAGCATAGCAATAAAAAAAAGCTGCTGATCCTCAGTTGTTTGGCTTCTGGAAATATAGGAATCAACAAAACGCTGTTTGTCCTGGCAGTAGGCTGGTGTGCAGTGATTTTCCTTGGCTTACTGTAGCCCTGGTCTCTGTGGGAGGCTGTAGCTCACAAGGGCCCTGCAGGCAGCATCTCAGTTTCCTGTGCTGGTCCCATAACATCCTACCCAAATTCCGTGAAAGGGGGAAAAGAAATAAATCGGTTGTTTTACGTTTTTTCTGCGAGTCGGTCATGTCTACTGTTTGGTGTCACAAGACCTTCGCAGGAGGAAACTACAATAAACTTGATACGGGAGCCAAAAGCTTTCCACAAAACCTCAAGATTATCTTATTTTTGATAAGGATGAGAGCTCTTCCCCCAGGCTCTCCTAACAGGATGTAGATAAACACTTGGCAATGTCCAGACCTAAAGTGCCTTGGTGGGTCAGAATTCACAGTACATGACAAGGCAGGAAGAGGCTTGAAGCTGTTTCAAGTGATGATGCAAATAATCTCTTTAATTCTGCTTTCAATTTACATCTGCTGATGAGCAGGGAGGAGTAGCAGAAGTCTTATATTCATCTCATGTAACTTGGAAAAGAGAATGAAACTTGAGGAGCTGCCAAAAATATAGCAAGGATGTGAAAAGAGCGTAAGGAAACTATAACCTAAAAGGATGAGAAACGAAAACTGCAGGCTACTGCAGGGGGGAGAGTGAAGCCCTGAAGTGTAAGGACTTTGGATATTTCCTGTGCTGAAAACATCAGGCCTCAAGAGGTTTGCAAATGGAGTGCAGGGGCCGGGTTTCCTGGTGTAGAGCTTGGTGTGCCCCATGCTGGGTTCCCACCAGCTGCCTGGCTCCAGATGTGCAGTTGCCCTGTTCTGGCAGGAGTGGGGATGGCAGAAGAACTCTCTCCTGGTTTCCTCCTTTGGAGTGCATCCCTAGGGTATTTACCCCCTTTGCTCTAAGGCTGCTGGTGGCTACTTGTGAGCAGAAGTTAACAGTGTCTTTCCAGTGCTTGCAGATAGCAGCTTGGCCTGGTTCTACAGCTGCTTTTGAATTGTTTTGACTCACATCCTACTTACTGGGAAGCATTTAGCACAGGGCCAATAGCGCTGGTGTCTTGTAGCCCCATTGTCATGGGTGTGTGTCACCAGAAAAGCAATCAAGAAGGAATTCCTGTGTCAGAAACAGGTCTGGGTTTTCTATTCCCCATGTCCTGCCCCAGTCTTAGTCTGGCAAACCCTTAGGAGGTGCACTTAAGTAGAAACCACACAGTGCAGAGAACTGGGACCATGTCGTGCAAGGCCTGAAGGTGGCATGTGGCTCTGACCCCTGGGTTGTGCAAGCTGGGGGGCTTTTACTCTGCTTCCCTAGACCCACCACATCAGGCAGGGTTTGCAACCAGGAAGCTTCAACCAACGGTTTGGTCTCCGGTTTCTCATGGCCAATGTTGGATAAGGCAAGTGTTGAGTTGCATCTCTTCCTTTTCACATTCACCCAGAGACCCCCGTATCCTTGCTAGTAAATTATCAGCCTAAATTTCTTCATAGCAAACTGCAAGGTAAATAAATGTTCTCGTTAGAAACCCTCTTTCGCAGTGAAATTGACCCTTTTGGTGCTTCCATATGCTTCAAGAAATCAGAACAGTTCACAATTAAAAACAAGCAATGTTTAGCTCCTGCGAAGGGAAAGAGTCAGGCACCAGAAAGACTGTCATTTTAGCTGTGCTCTTACAAAAGAGGGTGTTACAGTAAACTTGCTTATTTCACTGAGGGAGAATTCAGCAGGCTTGATGGAAACCGGATGAGACAGGCAGGGTAAATGGATTTTGCTGGCCGAATCGAAAGCAAAGAAACATGCAAGTGTGGTGGCTGGTCAAGAATTGACTGTATCTTGCAGAAACCAGGAATGAATTAGGGACAGAGAATTAGCAATGGAACAACATCTGTGTAGCTGTATTCAAGGTCTTTTTCACCTGTGGTATGCCTTCGATGTCAATTGAAAGCAGTGGGCGGCATAGCTCTGTTTAACTCCCTTGTTGCCTTCTAGCTCTATATGTGCTCCGGAGTGGTTAGGGGCACCAGTCCGGCATCTCCTTGAATGGTTCCGTTGGGCTCCAGCAAGCTGCTATTGAACCATAGAACCAGCTAGGTTGAAAATGACATTTAAGATCAAGTTCACCAGTACATGCTGGTATAAGGCAAGCTGAGGGGGCTTCCTCTGGACACAGCATTCCATGTGCACAGCTGCTGGAGGTGGCCAGGAGCTAGGGAAAGGGATGGGTATCTCCTGGTCCTTGATCCCAAGGAGGAGTGGTACAAAGCCCTGCTGGAGAGGGTTCACCAGGGTTTCACCAGCTTTCAGGGGTGGATTTAACTCCCCAGATTGCAGTGTTCCACCCTTACTGGCACAAAGCATTTTCTCCCTGTTCTTGATGGACCATCAGAATGGACCCTCCGATGGAGTGAGACCTATCCTGCCCTGCTGACAGCTGAGGGGAGGGCTACGAAGGTGGAGTACTGGAGAGATGTACAGCATCTTATCTGTCACCTCTTCTGCAACATCTCACTGACAGCAACATGAGAGCAAGGCACTTGTCCTGGTGTACTGCAGGCTTTCATCTCCCTAAGCAAAGCTACCTGTTGCACTATTACAGCTACCAGAAAGCACTGATGCCATCTTCCATCCTGGGCTGGAGAGATGTATTGGGTTTGTGTGGCAAGATCTTGGTAACATGGGGGCTATAGGGGTGGCTTCTGTGAGAAGCTGCTAGAAGCTTCCCCTGTGCCCTATGCAATCAGTGCCAGTTGGCTCCAAGATAAACCCACTGCTGCCCAAGGCGGAGCCCACCAGCAATGGTGGTAGAACCTCTAGGATAATGTAGTTAGAAGGTCAGGGGGGAATGGACAGCAGAAAGGAGTGAGGATGCAAGAGAAACACCTCTGCAGACAGCAAGGTCAGTGCAGAAGGAGGGCAGGAGATGCTCCAAGTGCTGGAGCAGAGATTTCCCTGCAGCCCTATGGGGCAGCCCATGGTGAGGCAGGCTGTGCCCCTGCCATGTAGGTCCATGGTGTAGCAAGTACCCACCTGCAGCCCATGGAGAAACCCACACTTGAGCAGGGGGATGCCCAAAGGAGGCTGTGACACCATGGGAAGCCTGCGCTGGCGCAGGTTTGCTGCAGGATTTGTGACCCTGCAGACCCATGCTGGAGCAGCTTGTTCCTGAAGGGCTGCACCCGTGGGAGGGATTACACTCTGGAACAAGGGAAGACTGTGATCAGGAGGGAGCAGCAGAGACAATGTGTGATGAACTGACCACAGTCCCGATTCTCCATCTCCCTGCTCTACTTGGCAGGGATGGAGGTAGAGATATCAGGAATGAAGCTGAGCCCAGGAAGAAAAGAGGGGTGGGGAAGGTGTTTTTTTAAGACTTGATTTTATTTCTCATTACCCTGCTCTGATTTGATTGGCAATAAATGAAATTAATTTCCCTGAGCTGAGCCTGTTTTGCCCATGACAGTAATTGGTGACTGCTCAGTTGGTGAATGTTCTCTCCCTGTCCTTACCTCAACCCATGAGCTTTTCATTTCTCTCCTCTGTCCAGCTGAGGAGGGGATTGACAGAGCGGCTTTGGTGGGCACCTCCTGGGGACACAGAGCGGGTTCTGGGCTTCATCCCCTGGGGGTGACCAGGCAGGCTCACAGCGGGGTAGTGGGCAGTGCAGCTGGGCATGCTGTGTTAACCCCAGCATGATAAAGCAGCCTCAGAGCTGCTGAGGGCTCTGGATAGTATGTGAGCACAGCTGCAGCAAAACAGCCTTTCTGGTGTTATTCTAAAGCAAACCAGCTTGGCAGGGGAAGAGACTGAATGCCAGATTGAAATGTCCTCCTTAATGACACCCCAACATATTCCTTTAGCAGAGCATCTTCTTCCCTAACCAGGAGTGACATTGGCCAGGTCTAATGCACAATGCAGGGCTTTTGCATAACAAATCTGACCTGAAATATTAGGACAGTGGGCTTAGTTCTGGCACATTGACTGTCTTGCCTCCTCTGTAAGCAATGAAGCAGAAGCATGCTCGTTAATAAAAAATACTATGCTCTGCCTCTTGGTAGTGGCTTTATTTACTTTTGTAAAGGGAAGTTATTCTCCATCAGTATAAATCAGAAACAGTTGCCAGTGCTGCATCCCTTGGCAGGCTGCTGAACTCCAGATAGAGATGAAGAGCAGAGGGGCTTGAATAGGGGCTGCAGTAACCAGGTAAAAACTAAAGGAAAGAGGCAGGGGCTCTCAATATTTGGGAAGCTTCTTGGGGACAGGTGGCCTGGCAAGTGCTGAAGAAGCGTCTGTTTAGCATTAGAGCAGTGTGTCCTGCAGTGTAACCTATGGTGCCTTTTGATCTGTGGGCTGATAATCCAGAAATGGCTCTCGGACAGTTGGTTTGCATTTTCTGTGCATTTGAAGTCAAAACACCTGGACTCCCTCTGGATCACTGATGTTCTGGATGAGGTGGAAACTGGAGATGTGATTGGGCTCAAAGCCTCCATTAGCTGCATCTTGCTTGCTGTGTTGGAAATGGCTGGACCTAGAAGCCTCTTTTAATTCTGCAGACAGATGCTGGCTGTTTCTGTGTTGGTTAGTGACACAGATTGTCTCAGCATCATCATTGGTGTTAAGGATAAATGGAAGTCCCATACTTTAGGATGAGGGTGGGGTGGGAATCAACCTTACACTGGTCTCAGTGTTGAGGGTAAGCTAAGTGTATTGCCTCCTCATCAAAAATTAGATCCTTCAACGTATGAGGTGTATCAGCAGCACTTCAGTCTTGCAGGGCCATCAGAGTCCCTCCTGCTTCCAGCACAGCTTGGTGCTGTGTGCTTCTGTGTAGTCCTACCACTGCTCCCTTCTGGTCTTGTCCTCTGCCAACCTCTCCCTTTCCCACAGGGAGACCTGATCAGTGCCTGGCTTTCTCCTTCCCTGCCAGGGTGCTGCCTGCATCCCCCTGTCTGGCATCTGGCTGCCTCCTGAAGGGAAATAGAGCTGGCTTAACTAGGGGAGGGGGGCTCTTATGGGATGTGGAGGCAGACAGTGCTTTGGGAAGCAGGAAAGGTATCACTCTCCTGCTGCTGTCATCTCAGTGCAGGCTTGCTATGGAGCCACAGATGCTGTGGGACTGGGCAGAGGCTCTCTAGCTCACTGGAGGGTTTGTTTCCTCTCTGCAGCCTCCTTTGCTACCTCTTTGTTAAACCCTTTGAGCTGATGAGGTCTGAAGAAGCTGGACCCCTTGTGAAGCATGTTCTAAGATGGGCATCTCTTAGCACTGGGTTGTGGCTGCTCATTACAGGGTTTTTACCTGGCTGGCAGCATGTCTGGGCTCAGCAGCCTGGCAGGAGGTTGCCTGGATCAGGACCTGTGATTGTCCAGCTGCTCTGGTGGCTTTTGCAGCATCCAGTGAGCTCTGTGCTGCTGCCAGTGCTGGAGGGTGTTGTGTAGGCTGGTGGTGCTACAGCTACATGGTGCTGTCCAGCTCCCAGGTCATGTCAATTGTATGTCTTTGAAGGGACCTTAAAGCTCATCCAGTTCCAACCTCTGCCATGGGCAGCAACACCTTCCACTAGAGCAGGGTGCTCCAAGCCCAGTCCAGCCTGGCCTTGAACACTGCCAGGGATGGGGCAGCCACAGCTTCTCTGGGCAACCTGTGCCAGGGCCTCATCACCCTCATAGGGAAGATTCCTAATGTCTAATCTAAAACTCCTTCATCTTAAAACCATTCTCCCTTGTCCTGTCACTACATGCCCCCCACACCTCTCCATCCCTTTGCCTAGATCTCCCAGCCTGGCAGTGCAGTGGAGAGAAGCTTCCATCTGGGAGCAGGTACCAAACAGTAGCAGGCTTAACAGAGACCTGCATTGGTGCCACGTGTGGATGCTACATCTGCCACAGAGATGCTGCCCATGGGTCCCATCTCCCATGGGTGAGAGGAGGCAGCCACAGACATGGGGAGGCTATTGAGCGCCTTTTAGTAGGAGGCCAAGGCTGCTTCTCCAAGCTGGGAGGACAATGAAGGCGCTGAAGCAGCCAGAGCACTGCCGGGGGCAGAGGGGGACAGGCAGGCAAGGGGAAGCCATGCAAATGGAGACTTTGATGTGGCTGCGAGGAGCGGGGCTGGAGCATTGTTCCTATCACATCACATCAGTTTCACATTCCTCATGCAGGAGTGATCAACGCTTTCAGGGCCAGACAAAAGAGCGAGGAGATGAACAAAAGGGGGGGGGTGGGGGGGGGTGGGTTACCTACTGCAGAATAGAGCCAGAGGATGAATTGCTCTCTTGGCAAGCCATGGAGATGGGCTGGCGGTTGCTGTGCTTTAAAGCACCAGCTTAAAATGTTTGTCTTTTATTTAAAGTAGGATAAAAAAAAAAAAAGGTAGGAGAAAGGGTTTCCTGTGTGCAGAGGAGGGGATAAATAAGATAGCGTGACAAGGATCTGTGGTCTTCTTACAGTCCCTGGCATGGTCTCCACAAGTGATGACTCTCAGCTTACCACAGAGGTGCATTGTGTCCTCTTGAGACAGAGAGGTTGGCAAACATGGGTTTGACCCGGACTGCAGAGAAGAGTTGAGAAGGTGAGAGAACTTGTGAAGGAACCTTCTCCCAGAATCAGCAATATAGGTGGGTGTGGAATGGGGCTGGCCACCGATATCTGAAGACTGGACTCTGCAGGACTCACAGAAGGTGTTGGCCCTGGTTCACTCCCTGTTGGAGTGAGCCATGGGTTGTGCTTGGCTCTCCTAGGTTGGGCTGTGAGGAGATGAGGAAACACTTAATCTTTCCTGCTGTCTGTTCTGGGTATTGTGCCTGTTGCAGCAGAGGAAACTTGCTGATGGGCTTCACTGGGCTGGGTTTTGCTGCGACTGAAGAGCAGCGATGGGGCATGCGGCAGAACATGGCACAGGGTGCATAAGCCCATGTGTGTGCTTCCATGATGCCATTCAGCCTTTGCTGCAGCCCAAATGACCGAGCCCAGAGTCACTAAGTGCTAGCTTTGCTCACTTACTTTCCCATCCTTGATCTCTTCTGGCTTTTGACTCTCTCTGAACCTCAGGTCAACCTCCAGCCTTGTCCTCAGTTCCGCTTTCTCTGGTGTACACAGCTATCCATTTACCTTGGGGAAAAGTGCATTACACCAACTGTCTATTTTCCCTTGTATGGTCTATCTGTAGTTTGGCTTCTGCCACTAATAAGTGGAAGTGCATCCATCGAGGATGCTCTTAGTCTTTCTTGTTCGTCCCCAGAAACCTTTTTCCTATGGAAGCATAAACCTTGAGCATTCTCCCTACCTCACAGCCATCCCCTGCTCTCCCAGCCCCATGCATGGCTCTGGATGCCCCCCCTTAGCCCTGACCCACGGGCCCCTCTCCTCCCTCCAGCCCCGGGCCTCTCTGCTTGAAAGGCTGTCAATCAGGCTGAATTGTCTGGTGGTTTTGTGATGTGGAAAGACTCCCACCAAGGAGTCAAGGGCCAGGCTGAGACCTTTAAACTCGATCCCATTTGCGTCTTAAATCAAACAAGAATCCAGGTCCCGGCATGGAGGGGGAGGTTTAAGGGGGTGCAGAGGCTCAAAAGCCTCCACTGCCCCTCTGCCTGAGTTTTCCTGGATCCCCTTCCCCATGTGCACTGTGTGGAGCAGGACATATGCCCATGGCCATGGATTTTAGAGCTTTCTTCCGTCTGCAGCCCTTTGCTCCAGGTCTGTCCCAAGATGCTGGGGTTGGCAGCAATGCTTCTTTTAATGCTGGCCCTTTGACCAAAGCCTGCAGCCTGGGGTTCATGGCAGTGAGGGTGCTCTGCTTTGAGCCCAAGGTTAAGGGATGTGCTGCAAAATGAAGACTGTGCCTTGGGGAAGGGAAGGTTTCTGGGATCTGCTGTTGAGAGCACATGGGGCTGGGCAGAGCTGTGCTCTCAATGCCTCGGGTCTCACCCGTTTGTGGTGCATGGGAGGATGTGGGTGCAGGAGACAGGTCTGTGGCTGACGTTCTGCACACAATTGTAAGGTTAAAAGAAGGGTCTTTGCCTCCTCCCAAGATGGTATCAGCAAGCTTGATCTTTTCAGACTATTGTCGCTGAAGAGGGGAGAGTGCTTTGGTCTCTGTCCTCAGTGTGCCTGTATCTTGGTGGCTTGAATCACAGTGCCTTGTGCTGCAGGTCACCCACTGGTGCCCTCAGAGTGGGGGCAAAACCACAAGGAGGCATGTGAAGCTGCCAGAATAGGGCATTGGGCAAGTGAAGAGACTTAAACACCTTCTGTTGTATCTATACTGTGTGTAAAGATGGGCTCAGTCTCCTCTGCAGATGGAAAATCATCTTAAATGACAAGATCATCTTAAGTATTTCTACTTTTCCCTCTAGAAGAGGGTTTGACCACGGCAGAGCTAGTGCTGCCTGGTTTCCCTATTCCATCTCATTTGGGCTGATGGGGACCCTTGACCTAGCACTGCTGCAGAGAGGAGGGAGAGCAGGGCTGGGTGGGGAACCAGCTTCTGCAGCTCAGCTCATGGCTTTCTCTGCCTGCCTGTGAGCAAAGAGTTTGCTTTTTCCTCTTTTATTTTTCCAACTTCTTTTCAAAGTCCACGTAGGTGAGAGATTTCACTGTGCCTTCCCAAGGGAAAGTTGCAAATCTCTTTTCCGTTGACTGAGCTGTGTTTTCAGGAGAAGCCTGGAGCTGCCTTAAGACATGTACGAGCTCAGAAATGCAGTGGCTGTGTTTGTTTTCGTGTTCTGGGCAAAGCCCGGGCTGCTGCCAATGCTAAGTAAATACAGAGCTGCCCTAATGAGTGACTGCAGTAGACAGGGCCGTGCTCGCTGCCTGCGTGAAGCCAGATGGATCTATCTGGGAACTTGAACAGCAGCCTCCTTGCGACTAGCTAAAGCAGAGCCACTGGCATTTGGATTACCAGCTCTCCTGTGCTTTTAACAGAGTGCCAATGTTTGACAAAACCATTAAGTTAAATTAAGCCCTACGCATTTCAAATGGATTCGGAGACTTCTGGCTGACTCGCTATTAGCAGAGCTGTCTCTTCTCCCTTTCGTCTTTCTCTTTTCTCCCCCCTCTCCCTCCTCCTCCGTTTTATTCCCTCTGTGCAGCTGGTTTTACTGCTGACATTTAAAAAGCAACATGCTGGGACTCAAGGACAGACCTGGGGTTGGGGATGGCACTGCTGTGAGCTCAGGCATGCAGGGTCCCGCTGGGGAGGGCAGGGAGGATGCTCGGAAGGTATTTGCTTGGGGCAAGCCCCGCATCTCACAACATGGGCATGGGTTGGCCAGGGATACGCCAGTCCCTGCAGAACCCACGGCTGCTCCACTCTTGCCCATTGCCAGTGTTATTTATGGCACAGGCTGTTACTCTGCTGGGCCATTTCCAGAGAGCAGGGAAGGATGCTTTTGGCTCCAAGGGGCTCACAGCACAAGGGCAGGGGATAGCTGAAGGCGTCTGTGGGAGCGGGAGCAGCAACAGCAGCATGGTCTGTCCAAGTCACCTTGACTTGCCTGGGGCGAAAGTGAAGGACTTTAGAGAGGCACAGGGCGATGACCTTGTAAATGGATGCATGACCCAACTGCTCCCCTGTGGCGTCGGCTGCTTTGTGTCCCTGATACTGCTCTTCACGCCTGTGGTGAATCACTGGGGCTAGGGGGTGGTTGCTGGGGTCTCATTTGCACAGCTGCATCTCAACTCTGCAAGCTCTGCTAGTCACTGGTGTGAAAAATGCTGTCAGATTCCCCCTGCCCATCTAATGTAGCTTTTCTTGGGGCAGGAGAACCCCTGTGGGACCTCACTGAGGCTGCTGGGGGAGCTGTTGCTGCCCTGAAGTGTGTTTTGGGGGTGGGCTGTGGAGCTGAGGAGGGTGAGCAGAAAGCCCACTTATGTCACTATCCCAGTGGAGGGATGGATGGCCTGTGCTTTGGGACCAAAGCTGAGCTGGGGTTTGAGTGGGGTGGAGAAAGAGGCAGAGTGGTGTCATAGGGTGGGTTTAAAGGATAGAAAAACACTGAGTATTACAGGAATGAGGGGTTTCCCGGTAGGAAATGCGCTGAGGGGATCTGATGGAGCTCATGGACTAGGGAGAAGACACAGCAGTTAGATGGTAAATCAAAACGGCTTGCTGACGTCTGAGTCTTGCAGCTCTCTTACCTGCTGCCCTGTAGTCCTGGTCCATGGAGGCACATTGTGTCAAGTGCTGTCTTGGCAGACAACATTCCAAGTAGCAGCTCTGCCTGCAAGCTTCAAAGTATGAATTGCAGATGATGTGGGGACTTCGAGCATCAGAGAAGCTGGGCTTGACTGAAGCAGCCTTCCTGCTGAGTGTGTCACTGCTCCTTCCACTGAAATGCCCTCAAGCACCTCTTGCCGCTTGATCTTTGATGCCTCAGCCCCATGTTTATCGGGTCACTGTAAGATCTGGCCTCTTGATGCACGCAGGTTCCCTCTTGCTCTCCCTGTCACAGCTTGCCTGGAGGGGGGCCAGGAGCTGCTCCTCTGACTGGGAAAGACTTCATCAGAACAACAACATGGCTGGTCTTGGGTGTGCAAAGCTGGGGGGTTAAACTGTGGGAAGCACCTCAGGGTGCAGCCTGCTTCCATTGACACCAAACAAATGGTACCTGTAGCTATATCTTCCTCATGTCACTGCCCATGGTGGGGGACTGAAACTGGATCAGTTCTAAGGTCCCTTCTAACCTAAACCATTCTGTGATGCCTGGTGGGTGCAGCCCCCACCTCCCCACCAGTCTCTTCTTTCTCTGGGTGTTCTCTTATTATCTCCATGTTCATTAGTGCTGATATGCTCAATTGCATCAGCTTGTTTTGAGGGACCAAATGCAATCCTGCGCCTTCATTTGCATCCCTGCTGCCTAGCTGTTGCCCAGGCAATGCCAGGTGCTTCGACATCATTACCCAGCCGACTGGCATCCTCTCTGCCCCATTAACCTTGTCGTAATTGACTTCGAATTGAGGGAACTGGGAGGGGGAGGGCATGGACTACTGTGATGAAACAGCAACTGTTTGCATTGCCATGGAGCAGGGCTCTTTGTTTTTTGAAGGAAAAACTGTGACAGTCAGTTATGGTTACAACTAGATTTGGGAAGGGTTTCTTGCCCTCTAGGAAGCTGCGCAGTCTGTTCTGGTTTGCAAGATTTCCCCACCAGCATCTCCCTTGGGAATGTGATGTTGAAACTCATTGGAGGTTGTCAACAGGGAAACTTGGAGGATTTGTGGAGGAGAAGAATGGTGTAGGGATGCTGAGAACAGCAGGTCTGTGCAGCCTGGGGAAGGGAAGGTGGAGCAGGGCATTAAGGGAAGGTCATACTGCTGTTTCCAGCCCCTCAATGGGTGGGGAGGAGGACTTACTTTGGAAGCACCCAGCACCAGGGCAGCAGGTGAACAGCCCAATTTGGAGCATCTGATTGCCTGTCAGTCACCGAGAAGTGCCTTGACCCCATGAGTGTGGTCAAACACTGCAACAGGAATAAGAGATGGGAAAGGTCCTGCCTTTAAGATGCTCAGCTGTGACCTGTAGCAGGCCCTGTGTGACCTGAGCTGGATGGTTCTGCTCCACCTGCAAGGCATTAGGTTGAGATCTGGGCCAACCTATGTTGCTCTACAGCTCTGATCCTAAATACATTCTGGTAACTAGCAGTATTTTCTTTCTTCTTAGTTAAAGTGTTTTTCTTTTTTCATTCTTTCATTTTGTTTTTAATTAAATACTGAAGTAGCATGAAACTTCTCTGGAGTTTTTCCTATTTATAGGTAGATTAAGCTTTTGTCACGCTTTCCTTTGGCCCCCTTTTGAGCCAAAGTCACCCAAACAGATGCTTCGCTACAGAATCTCTGTCACTGAATTGGCATCTTCCAACAAGCTTCACTGCACAGTCTTCTGTCAGCTTCAGTCAATTTTATTTATTCACCTTCTGCTTGCACAGCACCATGGTGGCCAAGTCCTCCTGCGTGTGCTCGTGACTTGTGCTGTATGTAATTTGTTAGGCTTAATTGAGCTCCCCGAGGAGAAGGGTGGTGTGAGACCGGATGGATGGAGGTCTCATCATCAGCTGCTTGATGGCCAAACCCTGCAGAGTGGGTCCTGCTCCGGCAGAACCCTTGCAGGATGCAGGTCTGTCCAACATGGCCAAGTGCTGTGGTTCTCTGTGCGAGAGAGGGTCTTCCCATGTGCTTTAGAGTTGAGGCAAAGAGGTGCAATGCTTCAAGCTTTACTGACCCTTATTAATGAATTATTATTCATTATTTATTAATAATTTATTTCATTATTCATTACCTGTTACTAACTAAAAGAGGAGGTAATTCTGCACTGTGTTTTTCAGCTTTCCAAGAGGCAGAACTGAGAAACTTGCGGCAGAAGGGGTTTCTTCACCTCTAGGACCTTAGCTGGCTTAATCTTAACTGACTGGCATGCGCTAATTCTTGCATTGCTTCATCTCCTCATCCTCTGCAAGATGAAGGAGTACACATAGGGACAACCAAAATGAGGGCTTGTTACTGTACAAACCTTTAAGTTCTACTGGGATGTGGTGATAGGGAAATTGTTAATCCCCTGCAAGCAAAGTGATCTTTATATTATTGCATCTGCAGTCAGTGAGCCACGGGCACAGCTCTGCCTCTCTTTACCCCTAGAGCTAAAAGAGCTTAATATCAATTGGCAGCTTAATTTGTAATTAATAACTTGTTCTCTTTTCTTGAAATGGCTTGCAGAGGGGGTTGACACCAGGGGCTCACACAGCCTGCAATATGCTGCCATCAGCTGCAGAGGAGCATCCTTAGGTTTGAAGGGGTGGGTTTGGAGATGGAGGTTGTTGGAAAGCAAGGAAACAGCCCTGGCAGGGGAACGTGATGTGATGTGATGACTGTCCTGGAGATGAGTCTGGGGGCTTGGAAGTCTAATGCTTTTCTGTCTTTGAGTCTAGGAGTGCTGGCTGATAAACCTGGGGCAAGTCTTGCTTTACCCTGTGGCACCACTATGCAGACATCCATGGTGGGAGGGTTTGGGAGAGGGGCATGCAGAGCACTCTGGGAGCTTCACTGTCCTCTCACCCTTGCAACCCTGTGAGAGCCAGCCCAGCAGTGATAGAGGTTGTCCATGTGTTTGGTGGGCACTGCAAGGGGCTGGCAGGGCCATTGTTCCCCTCTGCTTGTGGGAGCTCCTCCTGCAGCACAGATTGAGTGTATCCTGGAGCTGCAGTCCAACTTGGGATCTTCCTTATTGGGATTGACATATGTCATCTTACTTGAAGCTCTTGGTGGGTTTTCCTTCCCTGCCCGTATGGCTTGTTGCTTTCCTGGCCACACCAGCTGCTGGGGGAAGTGGGGTGGAACTCTGACTTGCTGAGTGCCTTTTGCACAGGGAGCAAAGGTCACTGCAGTGAACAAATCGGGCATTGCCTTCCAAGAGTGTCAGTGAGTGAAGGGAGAGGCAGCCCACAGAGGTGCAACCAGCCCGGGGTCACCCAGTAAGGGTGGATTTGACCTTCCTCATAACCTGTGGCTACCTACTAGCTATGTGGCTCTCAAAGTAGCCTTCTGGATACTGTTCTGCAAGGAAGAAGAGGGAAGAGCTTGATGTAATGGTGATGATCCTCTTTTTCCCCACTCCATGTGAGCAGTTGAGAGGACTCCTGCTTCTATGTTCTTCCCATCCCTTGCATGGTCTGTCTCTCTCATTTTTCTCAGTGCCTGTACTCATTATAGGCCGTAAGAGGTGTGTTTCTTTTTCTTCAGTATTTATTCCTGAACAAGTGGTTGCTGCTCCATTTTCTGAGAGCTCCAAAGAAAGTGACTGTGACATGTACAGGGAGCAAAACACTTCTATGTTTCACGTTACAGAGGAGATGGAACAGATAATGCAAAGCGGATATGTGCAGCCTTGGGAACTGCCGGAGAATAGTGGCAGGATGCCAGTGCTGGGTGATGCTGTGCACATCCCAGGTTGGCTGGGACACTGGTGTCTGATGGACAGTCAGTTGTAGGTCACTTCAGCCTTGTCTTTACTATGTGAGTTGGCGTAGCTGGGTTTGAGATTTTTTTCCTCTATTTCAAGACTTCTCAATGCTCATCTGCTTAAGAGAAGTGTTCCCTTAGCATTTGAGGCCCTCTCTGTGCAGGGAGAGATTTGCATCTGAGTTGCTTGGCATTCATTTGCCATCCAGTGGGTCTCGTGTCTGGAAAGGTCTGCATTCAGGGCAGAAGCCGAGTTAATTTGCACTGGAAGGCAGGCATGCTTTGTTTTGCATGTTGGTTTCTTCTCACTGAAATCCCATCTGAGGTATTCTCTTCTATTATTGAAGCCATGTTAGGGGGCACGGCAGCCTCCCTGTGAGGCTGGGAAAAGAGAACTATCCTGAAAGGTGCAAATTAAACCTGTCCTCTGCTATAAGCAGCTATGGCAGTGTTAACATGGACCCTTCTCCAGACTTTTGATGCTCTTTACCTGCAACTGAGAGAAAAATGCTCACAGAGACAGTCCCATGGGAAGCAAAGCAGGTCCAGAGTTCAGTTTGCAGCTAGGCTGGATGAAACGCTCCTAAAATTCAGGGGAAAAGCACCAGAGGGTCTTTAACTCTCATTTGAAACAGCTCCTGAAATGATCAGACAGGGCACAACGCTTTTGTACAGCTTGCCTAGGAAAAAGGACACTTGGGAAGAGCGGCAGCATCTGAGGGATTTTTGGTGTGAAACTTGATTACACAAAAACTTCGTTCTTCCATACATGAGTGCCAGACTTGGGACCTGTGGGTCATCTCCTGTGTCTTCCCAAGATTGCATCCTCCTGTGGCTGTCCCAGAGCTCGGTGTCAGCTCCCAGCACTGTTACTGGTGATGTTAGTGCATCCTGGGAAGCCCTATAACCATGGGTGCAGCAGGAAGGCTCCTGATGGAATGGGGCAGAGACACCTGTAAACACCTCTGTAGTGAAGGCAGCTCCAGCTGCAAGTCTGGAGATTAAAACCAGGAGAGGCCATAAACCCCATTTGCTGTTAAGAAGCTCGTGGTGTCGCAGGGCTCCTCTGTGCTTTGGAGATACAGTTCACACAGTCCCCAACTCATCCCAGCCTGGGGCTGCTACTGAGGCTCCAAGTATACCTTTTTCATTCCATGCAGCAACATCACCATGGCTTTGCCAGGTAGAAGGTGATGGCTGTGGACTGGCATCAATACTTGAGCTTTCTTTCACCTCCCCTTGAGCCCTGTGGAGGGAAAAGTGCCCGTCTGTAGTGCTGGTGCTGTGCCACCTGCAGAGGTGCTGGTGGAGAAACTGGCTGTGGGCTACACAGGGTTAAGCAGACATTGACAGTAAACAGGAAGAGAGGACAAAAGCAAGTCTGCTGTAATTATGTAGCATTTATTATTAATACGCTGGAATTGCTGGAAGCAGCCTCTGTAATGTGAATACTGATACAGAGGTTCAGAAGACAATTTAGCTCTCATCTGTCTGTTTATTAGCTCCCTCAGCTCTGGCAGCCAACAAACTAAAGCCTCATTTGCTACTGCCTTGTTGCACCCCCTCCTTTTCCCCCCAAACTCCTTGCTATTTCCATAAAGAAACCTGCTCTTTGCTCATCCTCCCGCTGTGCACCACAGCAATGAGCAGTGTGATCCCAGATAAAGCAGACTTTAATCCTTGACCTGAGCCTGCTTGTTTGCAAGGTATGGCCAAAAACACAACACTGGGCTGTGCAGAGCTGTTGCTGTTCTGAGACCAGCACAGGCATGGCTAGTGCTGGCTTGGGATGTCCTACATCTCGGGGTGCAGAGATGCTCATCCTCGGGGCAGCAGCCTTAGCAGGACCATGTTGCATGGGCTGGCACAGCTTGGGGTCCCCAGTTCATAAAGGGGCTGTGACAAGGGGAAG